TGGAGTATTATGTGGCAATCAAAAAGAATGAAATCTTGCCATTTGCAACTACGTGGATGGAACTGGAGGATATTATGCTAAGTGAAATTAGTCAGTCAGAGAAAGACAAAAATCATATGACTTCACTTATATGAGGATTTTAAGAGACAAAACAGATGAACATAAGGGAAGGGAAACAAAAATCATATAAACACAGGGAGGGGGACAAAACAGAAGAGACTCATAAATATGGAGAACAAACTGAGAGTTATGGGAGGGGGTGTGGGAAGGGATATGAGCTAAATGGGTCATGGGCACTAAGCAATCTACTCCTGAAATTATTGTTGCACTATATGCTAACTAATTTGTATGTAAATTTTAAAAAATAAAAAATTAAATTAAAAAAATCAGATATAAACATTATCCCAAACCAACATGATAATGGGCTCTATAAAACCTTAAATAATAACAGTCAATGTGGTGGCCTAGCAGTCAAGAATATGGTCTTTGGAGATTGACTCCCGAAGGACATTCTATCCTTTCTAAATCCCAGTCATCACAGTATTTATCTCATGATAAAATGAAGTGCATCATGAAGATGAACTAAGAAAAAATGTAAAGCACAGCATGTGGTACATGTTAAGTGGTCAATAAAATAACCTATTAATATTATATACAGTAGACATTAGTGTAAGATCCATGAAAATTTTATTATTCCTTTTATTATGCCAACATACAAAATCAACTTTAAAACGGCCTTCCTTGACATGACCATACTTTCCACTCTTCTTCCATTCCAGCTTAATGCATGACACTCCATCAGATTCTTTCCCTGGAAAACTTAATACTTACCAATTGATTCAGTCATCAGCTACTGATTGGGCATTTTGACAAATAGCCTTCCCTCAAGGCTCAGCATGAACCTATCCTCCTCATACCTGACCCCAAAGCCTCAAAGGATTTCTCCAACCTCAAAAAGTTTAGAGCATTCTTCTATTAGCAGTTTCCCAACCTCACAACTATTGACATCTCAGGCTGGATACTTGTTTTTGTGAGGGGCTTTCCTGTACATTTTAGGATGTTTAGCAGCATCTCTGGTCTCTACTCACTAGATGCCACTAACAAATTCCACCCCCCCTTCCCTGCCAGCAAACTGTAACCACCAGAAGTAGCCTCTTGTCCCCCAGACATGTTCCGTGTTGGGGCAAAATCATCCCTAATTGAGAATCACTGTTCTATAGCATTATTATTTTAGCAGTTAATCCATGTGGGACCATCCTTTTTGATATTATATAGGCTTTTTAATTAAATTATTGTTGGTTTGCTGTATGTCTCATTAACTATTTTTGTGTATTTCTCGAGTTATTTGCTGATAAATTTCTGACAAGTAGGTGTACTGTATTATACTCCTTTGTATCTAGCAATGATTGATTGATCAATGTCATCTACTATTGAATGACTCATTCATTCTGGCATGGTGCATAAGAGCAAGATGCCTGTGTCTAAATTCTGGTCCCACCACTCACTAACTGTCATTTTGGGTAATTTAGTTCACCTCTCTGTAGATCAGTTTTCTCTTTGTATAAAAAGGGGAGAATAGTATCTTCTTCAAAAAGTCATTTGGAGGATTAAATAAATTAATATATGTAGAACACTAAAATAATGCCTGCCCACAGTAAATACTATCCAAATATTACCCATTATAATGTGAATATAACGTCAAAGGATACAACTTAGTGGAATGAGTGATTTCTGTTCCCGCAGGAATATTTTATGTGTTTGAAAAAATATGATAATCTATCCAAAAAATTAGAAGATCATGTGAAAAGTAAAATGTGAAGATCTATAACAAGCAATTTGTCACAATGTAGTGTATGAATGGTTGTCGAATGACTGACAAATATTTGGAGTCAGAGAAGAGAACATCACAGTGGAGTGGAATGGTGGGGGAAAGAGTCACCAAAGAGGTAAAAATGGACTGGAACTTTGAAAACAAGCTGTGAAGAGATAAGAAAAGAGTTTAGGCGGAGAGAAAGGTTCAATAAAAGCCTCAAGAAGAGACAAACCATGGCACATTCTGGAGAGACTGAGTAAACAAGTCTGGCTGGAGTCGAAGGTTGAAAGGGACCATGTGTGAGAACAAAGCAAAAATCAAAGTCCATGTTTTGTCCCATGCAATCAACATGCTCATTAGCAATTAAAATCATAAGAATACATTTTAGTTCGTTGTTATAACTAACATAACTGCCTTTGGTGGCTAGAATAGTCACAGCCAAGGCCCATAGTCCAATGTGAAGTAGATATGCACCATAGATTTCTTTATTTCAACAAGAACAATAACTCATGATCACTGAATATTTTCTGCATACCAAATAGTGTGCTGAGCACTTAATATTCATTAATATGCTTAACTTAAATACATTAAATTAAATTAATGCCATCCTATGGTAGACCACATTTCACAGATTAAATAATTATACAAAAATACTGTATATATTCAAGTTGAGTGGCTCACCCAGTATCACATGATTAATGTCATGGCAGGGTTTTCAAAAGCTGTGATCCAGCTACTGTACTGACATTTTCCACAGGATCTTCTTTATCTAGCTTTTTCTTTATAAGTTTTTCTGTACATGTCCCCTCATGTATCTCAGATCTTCTGCCATTCTGAGCTTTTTTATTTTTGCTATACTCCGGACACAGCATTTTTTTTAATTTGTTACTCTCATTTTTTTTAGGTAAAGGTATGGTCTTGATCAACATGACATAGTAGCCATCAGCTGTAGTAGTTCCTTAATGTCTATCATCACTGCTACACATTGATATGCTCAGGCTAATTTACAGATTTTTGTAATTAAATTCCTTTTAATTAGGATGTATTAGGATTATGTTTGCTAACTTTCCCAGTAACATAAATCAAAAATAGAAAGCTGTTGACTTGGGGCGGCTGGGTGACTCTGTCGGTTAAGGGTCCGACTTTGGCTCAGGTCATGATCTCGCGGTCCATGAATTTGAGCCCTGCATGTCAGCTGTGCTGACAGCTCAGAGCCTGGAGCCTGCTTCTGATTCTGATTCCCTCTCTCTCTGCCCGCCCCCCTCCGCTCTCATTCTGTCTCTCTCTTCTGTCTCAAAAATAAACATTAAAAGATTTTTTTAAAAAGCTGTTGACCAGATGCAAAATGTTTACTTCAACTGATTACAACAATCATGATTACTATCCCAATGTACAGTCTTGCATAAAATGGGAGATGAAATTGGAAAGGTGAATGGACATGTTAATTTGACTGTCTAGTTATAGAGGGTGAAATTTATAGCTTTAGGGGTCCTTAAAAAGTTTTTGAGCGGAGCTGTGAAATGTTGAAACCAATATTTTAGGAAGATAAATTGACGTGGGTATGCAGGAAAGTGGAGGAGAAAGAAACTAACGCAAACATCTGGAAGACAGTAATCCAGGACTGAGTGTGAAGGTCATTTTTAAAGGGTAGAAGCAACATCATTTATAGTATATTAAGTATTTAGCTTAAGAGAAAAGCAGAATATATGAATTCTATGAAAACATCATCATTAGCCTATCATGATCATGCTCATAAACTGTAAAAGACATATTCACACACATCCCATTTTCCTGGTTAACAGTCAACTAGGAAGCTTAATCCCATGGATTCAGCATCAATTTCTAGGCAAACAAAATGCCTTCCATCAAGTCCCTTCTCTACCCTCTTTGGAACTCATACACCTAACTGCCACTGCTCCTCTTTTTTAACACACACACACACACACATACACACACAGACACATACACACACACACACACACACACACACACAGTGTCTCTGTGGTGTTTCATGTAGCTTCTCCCACTCAAAGAACAAATCACCCACTTACTGACACCCACTATATGGCAGCCGCTGTATCTTTATCATCTCACCAAATCTTCAAAACAAACCTATGGTCGTAAATAATCATCCTTATATAACAAAGGAAGGAACTAGGGCTCAGAGAGATTAGAGGACTTGATCAAGCACCAGAGCTGGAATAGAGACAAATGGGAAAGGTGGGGTCAAAAATAATACTTTTTTTGCAAAAACATTTTATTATTTACAAAACATATTTACATTCCTTATTTCTTTACATCCTAAAAATAATTCTGTTATCAATAGGAAATGGGTTTTATCAGGAACAATTTCTTGGATATCATTATTTGAAGATGTTAAGCCTACACTTAGGTATGAAGACATCTTTTCTCCAAAATACCAGCTTCCTCGGTGTTCCCTGTAATTGGTAAGATCCCTATTCCCCTAAAGAGTATACTGACTCATCCCTTCTTAGGAAACCAATCTTAAATTCTTACCCCTACCACATCTGAAATCACACCTTTGGAAAGATAAGGAGGGGCAGAGAAATAACAAAAGCAGTTAAAGTCCAATCCACATCCAAGACATCTTTATCTGTTCCTGGAGAAAAACTCATCCATGTTGACATTAGCCTTTTAAGTGACACAGATATGACTAACCTGGCTTGGTACTGAATGCCTGAAAATAAGTCTATCTAAAGATTGAGATAAGGGTGCCTGAGTGGCTCAATCTGCTAAGCATCTGACTTCAGCTCAGGTCATGATCTCACAGTTCATGAGTTTGACCCCTGCATCAGGCTCTCTGCTGTCAGTACAGAGTCCACTTTAGATCCTGTGCTCCTCTCTCTCAATCTCTCTCTCTCTCTCTCTCTCTCTCTCTCTCTCTCTCTCTCAAAAATAAATAAGCATCTTTTTAATCTTAAAAAAAAAATAAAATAAAGAGTGAAATGAAACTAGTGCCCATTGACCTGATTGGTTCACGGAGAATGTTTTGACTTATGTCCCTCTTTCCCCAAAGCACATGCACCAAAGGTTTACCTGAAGTGATTCTCTCAGAGGGTCCAATTAAAATTTCTTAACAAAAGCTTGGCTAACTCTAGTCTATTATCTTCAGATAAAAAACTATCTAGGAAATTCTGAGGAAAACATTATAATGTACTCATTATCCATCTAATATTTTCATTTTCTCTTTCAATCTCAGAACATTATGTTATGTTTCCTTCTAGAGTGTTGGGGTAAGGGAGGGAAGATACATTTACTATAACAAGTATGAGGGTGAAAATCTTGAGAATGTTGGCACTGGGTCACTAGCTTTATCTGCAGATAAAAACCTGAACAAAATAGATAATGGTTAATTTTGCACCTATTTTACATATATTTCCTTCAGCTCACCAAAATGATTGTCTTCAGAGCTTATGTCCATTATTCCTTTACTGTCCTCCCTGCAATTGAGTTCTCTGAATAAATACAAGGGTTGGTTTACAATTAAAAATAATAAGACTCTACTGGGCCAATGTCCTTGCATGCAATAAAAGGGTGTGGGCTAAATTACAGGAGCAGAGTTTGGTTTTTTTCCCCATTTTGCTTCACTTTGATTGGTGGATTGGCGCTTTAAATAAAGGTTTCTGGTCTTCCCTGGATGAGAGATACAGAGCGAGTCCTAGGCACAGACCAGAAAAAATTTTAATCTTCTTTTCTTAGAACTGTCTTGGTTGGCATCACCAGGCCCTGAGAACACAGTGCATGTCAACATTGAAGGTAAAATGTGATTTTATGATTTCCATGTGATTCCTATAAGTTCTTTTTTCCTATCTCCAAGTAGCTTTTATACAGAGGATTTTTGTTTGTCACCAGAAGCTGAATAATAGTTTATTGTAAACCATTAGCATGTTCCAGAGAAGACATGCCAAATATCTTACCAGCTAAGAAAAAAGACTAATCTATAGACTTTTTTTCTTTTTCTTTTTCTTTTTTTTCTTTCTTTCTTTTTTTTTTTTTTTTTTTTTTTTTTTTTACTATTTGTGATTATTAGTGACAGGGCCTAATTTAGAAAGGCATTAGAAGACAAGCAAATTTCTTGGGTAGGCAGATTTCTGTTCATATAAAAGTAAAGAGGCTTTTCAACTTCTAGAATAAACTTAAAGAGATAATTCATTTTAGAAAAAGGAAAACTCAGTTTTGAGACATATTTCCCACTAATATCAAAGGCATTTAAAATATTCAGTTCATTCTTACTTTTTTAATATTTATTTATTTGGGGGGAGAGTACAAGTGGGGGAGGGGCAGAGAAAAAGGGGGACAGAGGATCTGAAGCAGACTCTTCACTGACAGCAGTGAGCCTGATGTCGAGCTTCACCTGGAAGATCATGACCTGAGCCGAAGTCAGACACTCAACCAACTAAGCCACCCAGGCATCCCTCATTCTTGTTTTTTAAAAGATAAGTTTTGTTATGTTTATCTGGATAACTGAAACATAGAGTGATACATTCTAATATATCTGCAAATAAAGGTTTGCTATAAAATAATCATTGTATTATCTTTCAAATGCATTTCAAAATGTACTCTGGAGAGAAAGTATAACATCCTGTGAATGATACTTAATAGACCAAAATTTCACATAATGGAACGGATTTTCAAATTCATAATTCATTTTATGAAATGAAACACAGCAGTTAAAGAACACAGCACAAAGGTTGTTCCTATATGTTCATTTAGGTTGTAACTCCATAAAAAAAAAATCACTTAGATATTTTTTAATTGATTGTCAATTCATTCCAAAAACTAGTAAGCATAAATAAGTTTAGAAATATTTAATTGTGTTTTATTTTTATTTTTGTTTTCTTGAAACTGATTGTTTTGGAAGAACAGAGATGTGGCTCATTTGAAACATTGCCTTTTAACCATTCTGAAATAAAAATTCATCTGACTTAATTCTCCAACCCAATTCTGTTTCAGATCCCACTTTCCAAAATGAAGGACCTAATACTGATCTTTTGCCTCCTGGAAATGAGTTCCGCAGTGCCGGTAAGTCATAGTTTTCTAGATATTCTAGATTCTTGGATGCTAAACAGTACCGAAGGACATGGTCTAAAGTTCATGCATGGACTCATTTGAATTAATCCAGTGGTAGAGTTCCTACTGAGTCAAAGGTCATAGGTGTCCAGACATCAGCTTACCATCTGAAAGCAGTAGGTCAATGTAATTTTTTTATTCAAAAAGATATTAAAATATTCTGAAGAAAATTTTGAAGTCTTATTCCATTCATTCAAATATAAAAGACTTATGTAGCCTCTGCAAAGCCATGGCACAATTTTATTATAACCACTTGCTGCCGTTGTGCAATTGAAATGGAGAAGAAATTTCTCCAAAAAAGGAAAGTCCATTTTCTTCATTTTTAAAAGAATAATATTAGCCAAATTATGATGGTTACAAAACAGAGCTAAGTAATTCTATTTGAAGCTAGTAATTAAGTAATTAACCAACAGATTTGCCTCATGGGGGAGATACTATATGACTGAGAGTTGAAGTTTCTTAAATCAAAACATGCTATGGCAATGGGGCTAATTGTATGTTATGGTCCTATACCTGGCTCATTCTAACATATGTTGATATGATCTCATGAATACAATCCTCTGGGTACTGAACTCTACCAGCCAATAGTATGTGTTTCTATTTTCATGGAGACTTTGTTCTGCTGCCATATGCATTTGGCAAATATTGACCGAACACCTGACATGTATCCAGCAATGTGCTGGGCATTGGAGCCACAAACGTAAGTTTGACATGATCTCTTGTCTTGAGGAACTCATAGTTGGACTTAAATAAACTTTCAAATATTTCAGTTCCCTGACAAAAAAAAAAGATTAGCTCCTTGGGTTTCTTAAAGTTAAATGTTTGGGAGAAAGGGGATAAAAACTGGCTACAAAGATGAAAGCCTCAACTCTGCGAATAAAAAGAGTTTCTATTCCATTACTCAACATGAACTTTAAGTGAAAGAAAAAGTGAAGCTGCCACCCTAGCTTACTTTTGTATGATACTGACCCTGGGGTCAGCCTCAGCCATCCACTGTCTAATACTTTGACACTCCTGGAACTTATGCTGGCCCACACCTGTGTCAATCAGGTCCACCCTGAGGGACATGACAATTGTTTAGGATTGCCAACTGACTGCCTGTCAAGTTAGATGTTCTAATTTTACTCCCTCCTTGGAAAGGTACCCTCTGTCCATTTACATTCATGTAAATTTGTTGTTAATTCATGACTTGGAGTAAATGGAAAGGAAAGTATACTTTGTAGTTGAATCTGTCCAAGATACCTTATCTGTGTACTGGCCACTGGGAGGAATGCTTTACTCTCACAGTCCTCCAAAATGCTGAACAATCTGCTCACTACACACACACACACACACACACACACACACACACACACACACACACACATCAGTCTTCCTGTCTACACAACTGATCTTTTTCTCTGCTTAGAGTATTTGCTACACATTTATAACTCTTTTTCTGCTATCCATTTCCAAAACTGAATTATTTGGAACAATTTGCACCATGACTAAGAGGGCAAGATTTTACTTGTATAAAAAGGCATAAAGTGGAAGGTAGATAACACACTCAGGAAACTATTCCTCAACTTCTTACTCACGAAAAAAAAAATCCCAATATGTTTAGTGGATGCTCCATAAATATTTGTGTATAAATGAAGGAAAGAAGGCATTGAGAACCTGGGACCCTGGAAAGTAAGGATTTCCAAAGAACCAAAAACCCTCAAAATCCAAAGTACTCTAATTCTTACTCTTCCATTCTCCATTTTTTTTCTACTGGTATTTATGCATATTAACAAAGATTGCTTTAGAAAGAAAAATATCTTACACTTTAAAAATCTAGTTGTAAGTATAACTATATTTTTAACAACTTTTAAATGAATACATTATAATAAAACTTGACTTTTTTTAAAGTGTATATTTTGGATATGATCAAAAAATACAAACACAGATAATAGATTTATATATAAAATATTTTTTCATAAATGATGACAGAGCATTTGTTGAAACCCCTTGAATGGATGGTAAGTTAGGTTTTGCATGTGCTCTTTGCTGAATGCCATGATTCCATGCCACATTTCATGAACCAGAAGCACGTAAGCTTGGCAAAACCACAAGAAAATTGACCTTAGGTTTGTCCCTTTTGCTTACCTATAGGGTAATTTCTTTAAGAATACAAAGTATTCTTGGTTTTCTATTTTGTAGCTTTATCCTACATTGTATTTGTATTTGTGCTCAATGTAATCTCAAAGTTAAACAAAAATTTCTGCATTAAGATACAAAGGGTAGATGATTCATGTGGGAGCAAAGCCATTAAATATGATGTTAATTCTCCCAATTAATTTAAATTTTTCTTTATTCTGCTTAAAAACTCAAGTCAAAATCCCTCAGCTGGCCTTTATGCACTGGGCTAGGCTTTCTATTTCCAGTATGCATTTAGGGAAGGTTCTCACCAGATATCAAAATTATTCTTATTTCCGTCTAGATGTTTCCTCAGCAACCTGGAACACCAGGCATGGCTAGTTTGAGCCTGGAGGTATGTATCGTCAGAGTATTTACATGTAGTCTTTACATTTGTATGGTCTTGGTAAGAGAGAAACACCATGGGCAGGTTCTGTTTTCCTAGTCAGAAGTCAGTGGCTTTCTAGAGAAGTTCCAGAGAAGCATATGACATTTATTAGAACCTCATCTTCTCATTTTACTGCAATTTTAAACTCTCAGATATTTTACTCTTCAGAATGTCACCTGTGTGTGAATCAGATCAATACTAATATTTAATACCTAATATATATTACATATACATTATATAATTACTGTATTAATATAATTACTACATTAATTAAAACACATTGTTCTGAAGCCACAAATGGTTTACATTTAATTCCATCACCTTATAGTACTTTATATGACAATGTTCCCCTTAAGAGAATTTACCCCACAAAATGTGGTTGTTTATAAGAACTCTTGTAAATAACATTAACCTGGTTTTGTGGCACCTGCTTCATAGCCTGTTTGTCTTGCTGAAGTTCTCATAACTAATAATACTCTGTTTAGAAAATCTCAGCACACTGGAAACATTTGACCATGTCAAAAGAAAATATTAACAGTTATGAATAAAAAAACATTTATGAGATTATAAATTTTTCATAAGACCTTGCAAAGTTTATTCATATCATGATAATCTGGGGGCAATAGGCTGGAAGTTTATTTCAAACGGAAGCTCACAGAGTTACTTTTTTCTCACTTTCTAGCTTAAAAACAACTCAAAGCACTCTAAACCTCTTCCCATTAAATTGAAATTGACTTTCTGTTGAATTGGCAGCATTCTTGACCAGCTATCCAGATACTCACCATTTTCCCCAGTGTGTTTTACATTTACTATTTTGAGGCCTTTTTTATTTGGGAAGGAGGTAAGGGTGCTTTGTTTTGTCTTGTTTTTGTTTTGTTTGCCTGTTTGGGGATGGATTTATAAAAGGCAAAGTAAATTAAATGGGGAAGGGAGGTAAGAGTCAATGAAACAATGTTCTCATGATTAAGTTTCTTTTTTTTTTTTTTTTTTCAACATTTATTTATTTTTGGGACAGAGAGAGACAGAGCATGAACGGGCGAGGGGCAGAGAGAGGGGGAGACACAGAATCGGAAACAGGCTCCAGGCTCTGAGCCATCAGCCCAGAGCCTGACGCGGGGCTCGAACTCACGGACCGTGAGATCGTGACCTGGTTGAAGTCGGACGCTTAACCGACTGCGCCACCCAGGCGCCCCACATGATTAAGTTTCTATTTCAATTGAATGAGCTATTTTCCAATGTTTTAATGTGACCTTTACTTAAATGATACCTTTTTCTCTTATTTGATTAATGATAAAAAGCAAACTCACTATTTTAATAGCAATAACAACAATGGCACAACCACATTTAACATTTCCACTCTTCAATGATGATTGTGTCTATTTTATTTTATTCAGCTGACCCACTGCAAACTTTGTGCTAATATCATATATTTAGAAAATGGTTGTACCATATGAAAAGGAATATATGTGGCAAACACTAACCCACCTTTTTTCTTGATAGACAATGAGACAGTTGGGAAGTTTGCAGGGATTAAATATGCTTTCTCAGGTAACCTTATTTTCAAATATTTCTTATTGCATGAATTAATGGTGGTGGTGGTAGTGATATTATTAATAGCAACATTGTAATTCATAAAATTTGTTTGTGAATAGATATTATCCTAAGTATTGAAAGAACAAATGAGTAATAGAGATAACCTAAAACAAAATAAGACCCTTGGATGGGATGGTAGGTAAAACAATATTTAATGTTCTTGAGTAAGAAAAAAATCCTTTCTAGCACTTCAATTTTATTGAACAGCCCAAAATATGAATGCTTAAAAAGCTAAATCTCAAGTAAGTTTATGGGAATCTTGCAGTCTGTCTTAGGATGGAAAGTAAGTCTATTGGAAGAGAGCATTTACCTGTCCACATTAAATTCACCGATGTCACACTTAATTTGCTGTCTCCACACTTTCTATGGATTTTGTAGAAAATGAAAACCAAGTTTAAGCCACTACTGAAATAAAAGCATGGTTTTTTTTTTTTCCTTTTTCCCCCCTACATGTCTTTAGTATTCAAGATTTGGTTTTGGAAAGTCATTTAATTCTTTGTGGATGCATGGTCTCCTGCCACCACATTCTTCTTTCCCATGGATGAGACCAAGGGAGCATGAAACTCAACAGGTAGGTTAATTGCATCAATGTGCTTGAAACTTCACGCTGAACAATATTTGCCTTCTCTAACTTATCATATACTAGCTACAGACAGATAATAATAATAATGAATAAAAAATTATCCAAGTATTAGCAAGTCAAAACCTATAATTGTTTTTAGTACTTAGGAAAAATTAAAATAAAGTGGTCCAAACTTTCAACTTATTTGTATATTTATTTCAAATAGGAAGATATGGCCTCCAAAATATAAGAGGCCTATGTTAATGACATGAGCCATAACAAGAGAGAAACTATCTTCAAGATGGAAGCAGGCTATATCCTGGACAATTCTCATCTTAGTCAAGAGTTCCAAATAATTATTCAAAGTCACATTTAAAATGATGCCAAAGTCCTGGTTAAAATATCATGAACCCTACAGTAATCAATAAATACATCAATCAGTTAACCATTATTTTTTTTGGTGCCTAATAAATGCATAAGCCAAATTATAGATTGGGAGTGAAAATGAAAACATTTAAAAATGGTTCCAAGGTTCATGAAGTTTCAGATCTGATTGGGAGATAAGATAAGACAATGTATTACAAGGTGTTAAATTATGAGGTATCGGTAATAAAAAGCCATAGAGTTTAGAGATGGGCAGTAGTTGAAGAGGCAAAGCAGAGCCAGATTGTTGTGAGATTTCCATACCACTTTGAGGAGCTTGCAAATGATTTAAAAATAACAGGAAGCCATCCACCACAGTTAATTTCAAAAAGGAGCAAATAAACATGGTTGTTTTAATAGGAACTTTTGATTCCAGTGCTCACAAGTAACATTATTCACCAAGCCGCATTTAGTGGGACAATAAATAATGTTAGTAGTGACTGTTTCTCCACTTGACTATTTCCAAAATGGACTCCATGATGCAGGAATTTGATTGGTATTTTACTTAATTATCACTTCTCTCCTTTCATTAACTCAAAACATATATTATTTATCAAGTGCCAGGCACGTGTTAGGAACCATGTTAAGTGTTAGGGCTATAAAGTCAAAGAAGACATATAATTGTCTCTCAGTTGATGGTGGGCAAAGATATCATTGTAATCCAGTGAAAAAGTGGTAAGAGACATACCTAGAGGCAGCTTTGGGAACTCAGAGGAGGAAACAACCATTCTACCAGGAAGTCCGATAGTTTTCCGTATTCTGCAGCACAGATAGTCCAAAGGAAGTGGAGGAGACAGCCACGCAAAAGACTGCCCCAATAACATTGACTTTACATAAACTGGTGCTTCCTAAATGAACATAAGCTTCAGGCCAATTCCCCCGGACTCTCTTGCAAGTAGAAAGCTTCCCAAGCCCTTTTGTTTTAGAAATTCTAGACACCACAGTTCAGTGAGCTATCGCTTCCTGACACTCCTTTCAAATTTCTCTGCAGTATGAATATTCTTTGCCTGTACATCCCCCACCTCTCCCATCGCAGCCATCCCTGCAGCCTCAACAGCCAGGACAGAAACCTTTCCTCCAGCCTACTATTGTAACCGCCATCCAGGACGCAGCCCAGAAGGGAGGACCTCAGCCTCCAGTTTACCAGGGACAACCGCCCTTGCAGCAAGCAGAGGGGCCAATGCTTGAACAGCAGGTGGCACCATCAGATAAGCCACCAAAGGCCGAGGTAATTCTTTCTCAAAAGTCCAATCAGGATTGCCCACTAACTCAAAGGAAAACTGATTTACAGAGCATATTTAAATAATCGGAATTTTCAGGCATAATTTATGACAATACAAATATGTTTTTAAGCAGCTGACATATCTGTCCTTTGCCATCAGAAACAAGGCATGGACTCTAAAAAGATCCTGTGCCTCTTAGTTTCTTAGTCACATAAGATGAAAGCTTTCAGGGGAAATAGGACAGCCCAGAGAAGTCTATGCTTCCTATCACCAGGATCTTTTTCAGCGTTGGAAGGACTGAGAAGACTGATTATCCCACAGCATTGCATGTAGTATTTTGGATTATTATTTCTCTATCTGGTGGAGAAAAAACAATCATGCAATAATGTAGAGAAACGAGCAGTAGTAAGAAAAGGAAGCTACCATGTAACTAGTATGCTGCACACATTTGACATTCCCCCATGTCACCCTGATTAAAATCCTATAAAGATAGATATTATCATCCTTTTTAAAAAGAAGACAGACTGGGGTGCCTGGGTGGCTCATTCAGTTAAGCGTCCAACTTTGGCTCAGGTCATGATCTTGCAGCTCGTGAGTTCGAGCCTCGCGTCAGGCTCTGTGCTGACAGCTCAGAGCCTGGAGCCTGCTTCAGATTCTGTGTCTCCCTCTCTCTGCCCCTCCCATGCTCATGCTCTGTCCTTCTCTGTCTCTCAATAATAAATAAACATTAAAAAAATTAAAAAGAGAAGACAGACTTTGTGTCCTGCCCGACTAAATGAAAGCAAAAATCAGGAAATTCATTTTAGATTGCTTATTATAGTCATAAATAAGTTAAGAGTATGTCCAGTTCTACTTTTATAGTTTAGTAATTTTAATATTCATCTATGATGCAGCTACCAGGAATGGATTTTGCTGATCCACAAGGCCCATCAGTAAGTACAGATCTCAATGAGATACTTTATTAAGAAAAATATCTATACTTCAAGAAAGAAGAGGGGTGCCTGGGTGGCTCAGTCAGTTAAGCGTCTGACTTTAGCTCAGGTCATGACCTCACGGTTTGTGGGTTCAAGCCCTGTGTCAGGCTCTGTGCTGACAGCTCAGAGCCTGGAGCCTGCTTCAGATTCTGTGTCTCCCTCTCTCTTCCTGGCCCTTCCCCACTCGCACTCTGTCTCTCTCTCTCTCTCTCTTAAAAATAAATAAACATTTTAAAAATTAAAAAAAAGAAAGAAGAGTGAAAATGTTTAATTGCCCCATTTATTCATGAATATGAAGTATAATGGGTTCCTTTGTTTTCTTAAATATTAAATACTTATTTGTTAAATTAATCCACCTGAAAATGCATTTCATATATCACTTAGAAATGGCTGTAATGGGAGGTTTGCCTGTATTATAGCAAAAATGAATTACTAATTCTGTTTTTCTATCACTTAAAGGTGTTCCAAATAGCTCGTTTGATATCTCGGGGACCAATGCCACAAAATAAACCTTCTCCAGTAAGCTTTTTAAAAAATATGCCTCTGCTTATAATTTACTTGAACATTTTTCCTTGGAAAATGCATTTTATGATGATTGTTGTATTTATATTTAGCTTTATCCAGGAATATTTTACATGTCCTATGGAGCAAATCAATTGGTAAGTCTGTAACCTACAAAAAATATCATTTTAAATTCAATATTATCTTAAGAGCTATAATTATAAAAATCTAAGCTTCACACAAAAGATTCCATATTCTCTGAGTGCCTAATAGCAACTGAAATGTCAAGGAGGCACACTTTCTATTTGACTAACTCTAGCCAGAAACACACACACACACACACACACACACACACACACACACACACACGCATATATACAACAGCATTTAGGAAAGGTAAATTTTCTATCTGAATTATGCAACTTGGCTCCATGCATTTAATAATGACTCACCTCTACACTTTACCCTGCCGTTGGACATGGCATTAACTTTAAGGTTTAAGGAAAAAGTTAACTTTTTACTTTACTTTTAACTTTGTCTCGAGTAGCTAATGGGATAATAGGAACCTACTGACTGGTAATAAGATGCACTGTTTCTTTTTGAACAGAATGCTCCTGCCAGACTTGGCATCATGAGCTCAGAAGAAATGGCGGTGAGTAATGTCCTCAAACTGTTATGAAAATAGTGGTCAGGGCAGAACAGTCACAAAAGACTTGCTGCAAGAGGCATTGGCCATAAATGTCACTGAATATAGAGCACAGGACTCAGATTGTTCCACTCAGAAACCAAAACCTTGATTCTTAGGCAACATGCAAAGATTTCGCCACGTTTCCATCTAGTCATTTCTGAGTCATGACCATTCTAGAACATAAGATTTTGCCCTGTTTCTTGAATATGAGCAGAGGAGAAACCTTTCCTGAAAGGCCATTATCATTGAATGGCATATGCTTCAAACCAAAAAAAAGACACGCATGATTTGTACAGAGTTCCCATTTCTTCTCGGACCAAATAAATTCAAAACAACAAATTCAACAGCTTTGCAAATAATTTAGACCTCGACATTGAGCGATAAAAAAGAAAAAGAAAACAACTCTATGTATTATGTTATCCTCACCCCAAGTGTAGCCACCATCTGTCACCACACAACACTATTACAATGTTGTATACATGAACCTAACGTGACGTTGTGTGTCAACTATATTCAGATAAGAAAAAGAAAACTAACCAAGTTTAAAAGGCGATTAGTGTAAAATTCAAAGTGCGTTAATAAGTTAATTTGAGCATATTCTTTTTCTATTATCCATGTATATGACAACTTTAAATTTTGAGACCAGTAGACTTGCACAATTTCATATTTTCCCCCAGAAATTTCTACCTGTTACCTCTGTTAGAGGACAAAACAAAAGAAAACAAATACCATACTAAATGAAATTGTTATCAACTATAGATCCTATCAAATGAATAAATACTATAAATATGCTATCATCGAAAGAAAACTCTCATCCCAACATTCTTTTTTTTTTTTAATGTTTATCTATTTTTGAGGGAAGAAGAGAGGCAGAGTGAGAGCAGGGGAGGGGCAGAGAGAGAAAGACACAGAATCCAAAGCAGGCTCCAGGCTGTGAGCTGTCAGCACAGAGCCAGACGTGGGGCTCAAGCTCACAAACTACGAGATCATGACCTGAGTCAAAGTCAGATGTTTAACTGACTGAGCCACCCAGGTGCCTTTCTCATCCCAACATTCTTGAGTGCCTTCTATGAACTAGATGCATAGGAAGACACTATAGAGGCAAGATAAATTAGATAAGATTTCTGTTCTCAAGGAGTTTACTCTCTAATCAATGGGAAAGTCAGATACAAGGGCAGATAGTGTCAAAATGTTGTGATAAGGGCAAACAGACCTATAAGAGAGGTAAAGGGGAGAGGCAGGTAGCCCAGGCAAGGGGTTCACAGTGCCATCCCTCAAGGAGATGATGTGAGAAGCTGAGATTTAGAGAGTGGAGAGCCAAGAGAAGGTAGGAGAAAAGAATGCGGTATCCACATACTACCAACACAACTGGCTGAAAATTCAAGTAAGCGTTAATTATCATCTTATCATTTTAATTATTTATATTCTGCCTCATTCTTAAAAGATTTTGTAGTTGCTTATGAAAAGCCCCCAATAAAGGTCACCAAAAAATTGAAGATAGAATTTAAAATGAGTAAAAACTGTAAGCGATTAATTAAATGAGATTACAAACATGCAAATTACAAAGCCCTACACAATCACTGTAAGTAGCCCAAAATTGGAGGTTGGATATTTTGGGGCAGCAAAGGCAGAAAAAAAGGGACCTGGTAAGTTCTACAATTCTAACCGTCCACAGGAAGAAAATATTTCAGTTCCTCCAGAGAGATCAAGCTTCTTTTTCTGACACATGTTCTAAAAATAAAGAAAAAGAAAAGGAAAATCTTAGAGAGGGCTTTGTTCATTTGAGAAATGATGTTGAGGTGGTTTTCTAAAATATCCCTCAACAAACTCAGCAATGAACCAGTTTTTGTTTGTTTGTTCATTTGTTTTATGATGGCATTGCCTATTTTGCCTGCTTATTGTTTTCTTAACATTATATTTGAACTTCCGTTTGCCTGTAGACTTGGTTCTGCCCTGCTTCCCCACTTCTCTCCTTCCTGCTTTCATTCAGACTTGGCAAAGGGTCTCCACCTGCCTTCCACCTTTCTAGAAAAGTGCAGAATCCTCTCCTTTATATTTCAAAGCCAGTTTAGTGAGAAATGTGCTTACCCAAAGCTGTCAACTCACTCTTTTTTCCCTAACAGTTTTTTATGATTTCTAGGTGAATCTGACCAATTGTGATTGTGTGGTATACTTAATAGTAGGTGATAACGGTACCTTTCGTAAATGGTTTATTTCCAGGGAGGCAGAGGAGGCCCCATGGCCTATGGAGCCATGTTCCCAGGATTTGGAGGCATGAGGCCTAACCTTGGCAGGATACCCCACAATCCAGCCATGGGTGGGGATTTTACTCTGGAATTTGACACCCCAGTCACCGGAACCAAAGGCCCTGAGAAGGGCGAAGGAGGTGCACAAGGCTCCCCCAGGCCGGATGTCAACCCGGCCGATCCGGAAAACCCAGCTCTCCTTCCAGAGGTAGCACCTGGTGCCCTGGGAGGGCTTCTTGCTCACCCAAAGGGCAACGACCCCAGCCTGGCAAGAGGTCCTGCAGGGCAGAGTGGGGGACCCCCCAGGGTCACCCCAGCAGAAGCTGACCCACTGATGACCCCTGGATTAGCAGATATTTATGAGACCTATGGTGCCGACGTGACCACACCCCTGGAAGAAACGCCCACAGATACCACAGCCATCCCAGACACTCAGCAAACATCCATGCCAGAAAACAAGGCCCAGCAGCCCCAGATCATGCATGATGTGTGGCATTTCCAAGAGCCCTGAGAGCTTTGAGATTATCAGCTACTTTCTGTATGCACAAGCTCCCCAGCTTTGTCCCTATAGTATATCTCTTTACTGAAACACTTAACTACCCTGCCGCAGCAAAGGCGTTAAAAATGCTGAGCATATATTAATAAATACAAGTGGCTAGAAATAGTGTAGGTCCCCTTCTTGCTTTCATTCTCTTATTGAAATAAAATGTGTTGGCTTTCTCTGTGATTTAGAAATACTATTAATGACATCAGAGCAAGTTTAAGGGTCTCTGCATGTGAAAATCGCTGTTTCTTAGCTGTCTTGGGCACTATAGAATTTCTCTCTCCAGCATGACAGTCATATCCAGGAAATGCAACATTGCTTTGGAAATTTTTCTCCAAGCAAAGGCACATATTCTCAGAATTATGAGAGACACCATTCAAACATTATTAAACAGGGATGGGTGAACAATCCCTGACTGGTATTACTGGGTTTGATAATATTGGATTTAAAATTCTCATTGTAGAGTATTTTATTTAATCTAGTAAAAACACTTAGCTTATTTTAAATAAAGAATTTTTCTTGTTGAAAATATCAAGAATTATATGTTTATTATTTACATATATTCAAATGGTTAAGAAAGGCATGCTCATTCCCTACCTTTGCTATTCTTTAACCCATTTTATTTGATTTGTTCATTCTTTCATTGAAAGTTTATTGAGTATCTACCAATGTCCTAGGCACTGTCCTAGGCAACGGGCACACAGTCCCTTCCCTCACAGCTTACACTGGGCATGACTGACAAGAAGACAGCCAACCACAGTTTTTGTTTTTATGACAAAAACAGCCATTCTGAACCAACTCAGGTATTTTACATACATTATCTCACAACAATACTGCAAAACCCACAACATACGTGAAAAGTGCTATGAAAATGCCAAGCACAGGGGGGGAGGGGGGAGAAGAAAAAAAAAAGAAAGAAAATGCCAAGCACAACGTGCCGCCGAAGCCACAGAGGAGACAGCCTCACCCAGCCGGAGAGGCATTGGAGGGGCTGGGAGGGATCAGACAAGTTTTCTCAGAACCATTTGCAGAATCAGGCCTCCAAGAGGAAGAAACACAAGAAGAGTCATGTGGGTGCCACGTGAGAATTAGCTCATTCCTGTGAAGTACACTGTGGTAAAAAAGGGAATCAGCAAATGATTGCTACTTGTCACCAAAGCTAGGTATTCAGTCAGGGCTATTTGCCTAACTTGACAGGTTCCGAGGCCAGTTCTGGTCACCTGTGAAAAGTAGCCTCCCACCCCATTCTGTCCACCCCCTCCCAGGTGGCCCAGCCAGGCCTTACCCTCTCCAGGATCTAGATTCCCATCCCTCCCCTGTGGAGATTCTGGGGATACAGCCCAGGAGATGAGCTCTGATGGCTCCGGACCTGGGATACTTCAGGAACCAAAGCAGGACTGTACAGCCACCCCTAATGTCTCCCCCTTTTTCAGGCAGAGCTCCGCTCACCCCTACCCTATGGCTAGAGCCTGAGGAGACCTGCAGGAGATTAAAACCGTGTCCTGTAGCGGCTCTGGCAAAGGTGCGAGGGTTGGAAAATGAGCCCCACCGTAGCCAGCAGGTGCCCACTGAGTCCCACCTTAGCAAGCCAGTCTCCTAAAAAGCAGGATAGTAAAAGATGTCCAGACAGACATCACATGTTGTCATCTTTGAGTCTTTGGGAATGAGACCCAATCTCCCCAATCCTGTGTTTTCATCTCCATCATGGAGCTGCAAGCCAACTCACCCCACATGGTTGTTGTGAGGTCTACATGAGATGGATAGCGCTGGGATAAAATTGCTGAGTCATAGCAGTTTCCACCTTTTCCTGCTGATCCTTTCCAGAAAGAGAACCCTGCAAAACAATCAGTAAGAATAGAATGGAATTGTTCCCATTATCTGAATGTGTGCTTTTCCATTCACACTCCACAGCTAGCCTTTTGACTTCTTCCTTATAATTCATAGCATGCATTTGTTTGTTTTTATTTTTTTAATGTTTTTTTTTTATTTTTGAGAGAGACAGAGCATGAGTGGGGGAGGAGCAGAGAGAGAGGGAGACAGAATCCAAAGCAGGCTCCAGGCTCTGAGCTGTCAGCACAGAGCCTGACGTGGCTTGAACTCACAAACTGTGAGACCGTGACTTGAGCTGAAGTTAGACGCTTAACCAACCGACTGAGCCACCCAGGTGTCCCCAGAGCATGCATTTGTGACATCACATATGCTGGTTTCCCTGGTGAATCATATCAAGGGCTCAGAGGTGGCCTCTCCATTGGTAGCCTGGGCACTGAACAGTGTTAATAGTTAGATCAGTTTGACAAGGCAGGGATACAGTGTTGTTGAGCCCTTGAATAACCTCTTTCCCTGCCACCATATCCACTTCAAACACTGCTCCAGTGAGCAAACACCAAAGTGGCCAAAGAGGCTAAATGTCACCCACAGGAAGAACCATCTTCATTATTGAGAATTTCCTCCACCGTGGCTTCCCTCCATCAGGCATTTACATGAGAAACAAGTATGTTCATACTATAGCCCATCCTGAGAGTCCTATCCAAATAGCCTGCCTTCTAGACCTCCTTAATACTAATTTTCCAATTTTATTATCTTTAAGTCCCGAACCAGCTGACCAATCTGGTGCTGTGCTGAGTCAGTGTAAATCTGTAACTCGAGCCATCTCCTCTTCCAAACAAAATAGACGACCAGACACACCTCTTAAGGTCCTGCCCACCGAGTGGCATTGTGGTGCACTAACCGTGCACTTCCAGAACCGGCAGACATTCTTTCCTCTCCGTTAATTGATCATAGATGGGTTGTCACAGGACTGATTCCCCAAACTGGGACACTTTTGACAACAAAGTGGTGTCATGAATGATAAATGAATGTTCACAACAGGTATAAACCAGTACTAGCTAGGGCAAACCTAGACATCTGGTTTTGGGGGGGGGGGGGTTATTTTGTTTTTGGCTTTTTTGGTCATATGGAACTCCCCATGAGGCTAACTGTGTGGATTGAGGAAAGGCATCAAAGTCATAAAGAGAAAGTACGTGGACGTCTGAACCAATCACTTGTGCAAGTTACTTGAGCCCTCCAGACCCGCTGAAACCTGGAGTCATATATATCGTTCCCACTTACAGTGGAATGCTGCTGTTTATACTCAGTTTTATGGTTTCAGTGGATCCTATACCACCTAGTTCAAGATAGGCAACTCAGCATAATCACTTGGCTCGCATAGCCTGGCATGCTGTCTCTACCAGGGTCCAGTAGCAAGGCAAGAACTTCTTTTCACAACGAAAACCCTAAAGCTCTGTGCTGTTATTCTGCCAGCGCTTGCCAGAGGTTCCCTGCAGCCACAGATACTTCCCATCCATTTGAGTCCCTGCGTCCTAATGCACAAGTGACAAGGAAGCTTCTGTTACTGAATAGACACCTTTCTTGCCCTACGTTTCACTTAACACTGACAGCCATTCAAGTGATAACAGTTTGTGCTACATGTTATCTTCAAAACACAAAGAAGCCCCACATGTATTGTGCTTTTCTCTTCTTGTGGGGTACTGGGAGCTGCCACAGTTTGCCTTTCACTTTAGCTATCCTGGCATGCCCAGGACTACCAAACGTCTAGAAATGTCAGCAGCCCTGTGGACTTTTGCAGTATTTATCTTCCACCTTCTGGCTTGCTATTCGTGCTAATCAAAACCTGTTGCACTGTGTCTTCAGCATAATGGACTGGCATGGTTTCTTATGTAATATGAAGGTGATCCAGCACCCTTAGGACTGTATTATGACAGTAGGAAAAGTGACACAGCCCTGGGGCAAGACAGTTGAGGTTTGTAGTGTCCCTGTCTTTTAAAAGCAAACTGCTTCTGGTTTTTCTTACTGATTGGAATAGGATGCAAGTATATGGTGGATCAATAACTACATAATAGGCACCAGGAGTTATGCTGATTGGCTTCGATAAAGGTGCCACACCTAGAACTACAGCTACAACTGGCATCATCAGCTGACTGATTTGCAGTAATCTACCATGATTTCCCAGGACCCATCCAGCTTTTGCGTCAGCCAAACAAGTGAGTTAAATGAGGATGTGGAAAGACACCTTCCCTGTATCCCTCGAGACTTCAGTGGTGACACTAATCTCTGCAATTCCCCCTACAAGACTTACCATCTGGTGGGGAGGCGGGGGGAGAGGGGAGGGGAGGAGAAATTGTAAGAAGAGACACAGCTCCAGGAGCTTCCTTCCTACCGTTACAGCTTGTGTTCCATTGGTGTAGGAATCTATGTGGGATTCTGCCAGTTATAAGATACATCTATTCTCACTATACATTCTGTGACTGGAAAATGAATTACAAGATAAATCCATTGGCTCCACTGTCAGATGGACATGGACCAAGATTCCATCTCTCATCTGATTTCTATAAGCTTTAATTGGTAAACTGTGAAGGCTTTGCCTGTTCAGGACCACCATCTAACAACCTGCTGGAAATCTGGGTATTTCCCTTCCCCCACTCCCTCCTACATGCCCTAGAACACTGCGTCAGTTTCTTCTGGAGAAGGTTTAGGGACACTACGGCATACACACGTAGTCTTTTCTCACAGGAACCTGATGTCCCCTTGACTGGGGGGCTGTAGGTCTGGGAACTGGATAAGACACTGTGAGTCCCACTAGGTGACTTGGGTTAGGCTCAATGAACCTAGATTCTTTTTGTCTTCTCATGTCAGGCCACATCTTAACAGAATGTCCATCTATTTTTATTGAGAAACCCATGATCTACTAGGTATCATCACAGATCCTTGCTGGTCAAAGCACTGTGATTACTATTCCATCTTGTGGCCTACAATGGTAATCACATCCTCTTTATCTGGGGGATAAATACCACCATTGGGCCTTTCCTGTCACAGAATCCTATGTTTCCCATTGAGACCCAAAGCAGCATCCCCATCATCATATCTGCCCTACAGAGGAGAAAACCCCAGAGCTCATTATCCCCTAGTGAAGAAAGTATTTTCTGGACCTTTCTGGAGACAGGAGGGTGGAGAGCTAATCTGGAGCAGTAAACATAACAGACCCATTATGCCCAT